TGCCTTTTCTCCAACTACCCCACGTTCCCACCACTGGTGGGTGCTGAGTGGCGCTGGGGTGGGATGGGATTCTGGGGCTATCAGGGAGGGTCAAAGGCTCAGCTGCCTGGTGTGGGTCCCAGGGGTCCAGGTGGGGTCCCTCCCGTGGGGTCTCTCCCAGGGCTCCTGCTTAGTGCAGGTCTCTGAGAGCAGTGTGGACCAATGGTGGATCTCTGATGACCCCTAGTGGCCATGGAGCTACACACCCTCACCAGCTGGCAGCCCCATGGAGCGACTTGACCTCCAGCAGGACCCGTCCTAAGTGCAGAGGTTGGCCATGGGGGCAGTATTGTAGTCTGATGTGGGGCTGGGTGAGGGAGTGGCGGTCCACACCAGGTAGAAGGTGGTGCTTGTGCCTTGTCCTCCCCATCACACCTCCTCTGGACACTCTCTGCCAACCAGGTCCACCTAGTAGAAGATCGAGAAGAGGAGTACACAGGTGGAGATGCTGGGAAGAATGGAGAGGATGGAGTCCAAGCAGTGACGTCAGCACCTCGGGGGGGGCACGGGGTGGAGGGAGAGGGAGACAGCTTCACTTACACCTTCGATTTGGATGTGAATTACTACATGCCAAGGGGGCTGGATGTAGGGGCCTTTGTCAGTGGACCCTACATAGGTGTATTTTCATAACCATATGGCTTACCTTTGGGTTTAAAGTTGCCTAGAGCCTCTGAACTTCCCTGTGGTCCCACACAAGGGGGTCCTCTACCTGGGCCATGGGAGAGTCGGTGTGGGCTAGGACTGGGCCTCCCGGTAGTGGGCCTGACCCTGCCTGGCAGAAGAGATCAAGGGAGAGAGTATGGGGGCAGTGGACTGAAGAGGAGATGGAAGTTAGAGTTGACTGTCACAGGACTGAGGCCTAAAGTTCAGAAGTAGGGCTGATTCTGCAGGTTTTCTCCCTTGTCATTCCTCGCCTGGCATGATCTCCACCCACTCCAGCTGGTGCCAAGGCCAGTGAGGTGTGTCAGGGTTGATGGCAGCCAACAGAGAGCTCAGAGGGAGAGTCTATTCCTGACAGCAGGTCAAGCAGGAAGACAGGGTGACAGCCTCACAACTGAAGAGTGGCTGGCTGTGCAGGGAACTGAGAGAGAGAGCGCAGCCTGCACAGGACTGGGCTTCCCTTCTTCAGTAGGGGAGAGGGGGCTGTGTCCAGGACAAGGACTCCTCTTTCATTCCATGCCCACAAAGCCTCTCGGAGATGGCATCTCCCTTAAGACATTTTTGGCTACAAGTAATTGAATTGTGAAACAAAAATTATCTAAAAATTTTGAATGTTTAATTTCTCACTTAATTCTTAATTTCATTTAATAATTTAGGAGGCCACTGTTCTAGAGTAGGCACAGCGGCTCAGCGAAGACATCAGGAATTCAGAGTCTTTCCATAATTTTGCTCAGCCATCTTCAAGGTGGTCACAAGAGGGCTGCTGTACTTCCAGATGTAATATTTTCACCGTAAGGAAGAAACCTATAATCTACTTAAAGAAGTTATTGGCACACACCGTTCATTAATTGAAAACATCAGGTTTTCATATTCTGTCAGTGAATGAAAACAATAATATTGGCTGCCACGTTCTGACACTAAACAAATGGCAGAAGCAATGATGATGTTTCTCATGAATTATCTTCTTACAATTAGCCCCACTTCACAATGACAACTGAAATTCAGAGAGATCAAGTAACTTGCCCTGTTTTATGATCTGGAAATGAAGAAACTGAAATTCAAACTCCTGTTTGTGTAAAGTTAGGGCTGGCTTTTTGTCTTTTTAAAAATGAAAGTGAGATGGAATAGTAGTAAGAAGCTAGGAAAATTCCTTGGTAAGTGAAATAGGGAAACTGAGACAGATAACTGAACAAACAGGTCCAGCAATTTACAGCCAGATACAAAAGGTCACCTCCTTAGAGATAACATCTAGGCCCAGCAAAGCAGCAAAAGTAGGTGGGGGTTACAAGAACCAATTACAAAGACTAAAAGCGCCCTGCCCTGTCACTGACCAATCAGTGGAGACCATGACCCTGAAAGGGCACACCAGGAGAGCTGATAAATATTCTGCTGAAATCCTCTCCTGAGACCTCCCCTAAGATTCCTGCCTGCAAGAGAGAGATAATAGCCTCCAGACAAAGGACCCAGAGCAAGCTCCCTCTGAGAGGCAGCCCACGCCATTCTTTTTCTCTTCTTTCCCCACGGAGTCTCTTAAACTGTAAGGCCATGGGCAGCTTGCAACTTGTCTCAGGCTAATCTCCTGAACTCATCCCCAAGGCTCCCCTTTTCTCTGATTTTCCAGTGAGCTAAGGCAGTCCAGCCTAGGCCCTCCTGTTGCTTCTTCTTTGCTAAACTTTTCCTTGTTTCACTATCCCCAGCTTTAGTAAACATGCCCTCATAGTCTAGTCACCTGGACTCATGTTGTGAATCTTTTGTACACAATGTCAAGAACCACGCTTCCAGCTGGCCCTAGGCGTACCTGCTCAGGGCCAGCGCCCCTGTTCCGTAACAGAAGGAATATGTATTTAAGATAAGAATTTCAAATAGTACAAACCTTGGCTTTTGTTTTTAAACACTATATATGCTCATGATAAGAACTTCAAATAGTGCAAAGTGTACAGTGAAAGTCTGTCTCTCTCCCCACTTTGCAGTTCCGATAGTTAACACTGTAATTTCCAATGGTCCTCTAGGAAATTCCCTCTGTAATCACAGCTCAGACTTTTAACTATTTTATACAAATGAGATCTATTCTGCATTTACTTTTAAAAATTAATATATTTTGTAGATATGTTGCCATGTATAGATTTTACCTTCCTTCTCACAGGCATATTGAATACAGTGAGGTTCTACTGAACTTTATGTTGTTTCCTATATTTTTGCTATTATAAAGACCATGTAAAAATAAATATCCTTGTACGTATAGTTTTGTGTATATATGTGAGAAATCTGTAGGATAATGTTTCAGGAGTGGCGATATAAAATGTCTATGCATATTGGCAAATTGCTCTCGAAAAAGATTATACCAATAATACATGAAAATGCTTATTTCCTCATATACATGTCAACATTTGAATGTTATCAAACTTTAATATTTTGGCTAACTTTATAAGTGAAAAAATGGTATCTTAATAATCTTAATAATATTTTGATTTTACAATTCCTTTATTATGAGTAAGGTTGTAGTTTGCCAGACTGCCTGGGTGAGAATTCCTGTTTGGTACTCTCAAGCTCTATGATGTTGTGTAAGTTGCTGAATCTCCTGGACTGGAATTTCTTCTATAAAATGGGATTTGTAAGTGCCTTATTAGTTGGATTTCAGGGTTTAAGGGCATCATACATATACAGTGCTGGCACAGTACCTAGTTCAAAATAAAGGCTAAGTAAATGTTAGCTATTAATATTATCTAATATATTTACTGATCATTTGAATCTCTTTATGACCTGCCTGTTCATATCTATTTTCCATTTTTGTTGGATATCTCTTTTTCTTACTGATTTGTTAGAGCTCTTTGTATAGTAATAACATAATTTCATTTTACATATATGATGTCTGTCTGGAAAAACTCCAGCCATTTAATATAATAAGAACTGTCTGTGTGACATCAATGTAACCTTGCAGCCAAGGAGAGTGGACTGTGTGAACAGTCCATGTGTGAACATGTGTGAAAGCACATGTGTGAACAATGACGACTTCACTGTACTAGTCAGTGGGGATGGTAGAGACCATTGAGTGAGCATGTGTATTGTGTGGCTGTTACATTCAAAATAACTGAGTGAGCGGAGCAATGAATCTGCATCAGATTTTGTGTCAAGCTTGAACATTCCTCTGTGGAATCTATTTGGATGATTCAGAAGGCCACAGTTATGGGCAACTGGTGATTGGCAGCTTCATCACAACAACATGCTGCTCATGCATCACATGTCATGCAGAGTTTTTTGGCAAAACATCAAGTCACTCAGATGACTCAGCCCCTCTACAGCCCAGAATTGGTGCCCCGTGACTTCTGGTTTTCCCCAAAACTAAAATCAGCTTTGAAAGGGAAGAAATTTCAGACCATCAATGAGATTCAGGAAAATACAATGGGGTAGCTGATGGCTGGATATTTTCTGGACAGACCTCTTCAATTACAAGTATTTTCTGTTTGCTTACATTTTGGAGGGGAGTAAAAATTTTTTTTTTTATTGGAAAACAAATACAAAACTTGGAATGGATTTGAGACAAATTGTGCCATAAGCAGATTTTCTTTAAGTGGCTATAACAAAGTTTAAAAAGCAACTAACAATAGAAGAAAATGTTTCTGATACAGGACCAGCAGTACAAAAAAGTAGTGTACAAGTACCTGAATAATACACCTGTTTTGCAATAGTGCAACTTTAAGTACATGTTGTTGACTGTCCTTAGTCCATGCAGAGTTACAACTCCACACTTCGACAATAACATGCTGACAGTTCCTAAAGAAAACTACTTTAAAAAAGGCATAACCCAGATGTTCCCTCATTTGACTAACTCCCCCTAAGTTTAGATGTGCAGATGGGCTTAGATATATCCAGAGTAAGCCACATGCAACACATTACTTGATCAATTTTCTAAAATAAGGTTTCAGGACAATGACAATAGGGAAGAAAACACGGAGGAATGAAGTACTAATTACTACACACACATATTAAAAATTTTTATTTATTTATTTATCTTTAGAGGGGTAGGGAAGGGAAGAAGAGAGGGAGAGAAATGTCAATGTATGGTTGCCTCTTATGCGTCCCCTGCTGGGAACTGGCCTGCAACCCAGGCATGTGCCCTGACTGGGAATTGAACTGAGATACTCTGGTTCACAGGCCTGTGCTCAAGCCACTGAACTATACCAGCCAGGGCACATGCATATTTTTTTGACAGTAGGGGAAACCTTTTACAGATAAGTTACAAACAAAGAAAAGGCAAATAAATAACTTTGTGCAAGAAATTTAACACATTCTGTACAATGTCCTCACTTTGCAGTCATCATTTGTACAAACTCTTTATCATTTACTTGACCATCACTATCAATATCTGCTTCCCTGATAATTTATTTCATCAACCTCTTCATGTGTTAAGTTCTCTCCAAGGTTTGTTATCATATGGTGAAGCTCTGCTGCACTGATGTAGCCATTGTCATCCTTATCAAACACACGGAATGCTTCTCCAATTTCTTCTTCACTGTCTGTGTCTCTCATTTTTCTTGCCATCATTGCCCGAAATTCTGGGAAGTCAATTGTGCCATTACCATCAGCATCTACTTTATTAATCATGTCCTGTAACTCTGCTTCTGTGGGACTCTGGCCAAGAGACCTCATGACAGTTCCCAATTCCTTTGTTGTAATAGTCCCATCACCATCCTTGTCAAATAGTGAAAAAGCTTCTTTGAATTCTGCAATCTGCTCTTCAGTAAGCTGGTCAGCTATGCTGCTAGTGCTGCTGGTCTCTGAGACTCGACCACACAAGCATTTAGCTTGCTTGCTCCACTCGGACTAATATGTTTACATTTTAATAGAGTTTATTTTTTAGAGGTTTTAAGTGCACAGCAAAATTGAGAGAAAGATACAGAGATTTTTCCATTTGCCCCTGCCTGCCAAGCCCCTGCAACCAGACCTTTCCCATTATAAACATCCCCCACCAGAGTATTACATTTGTTACAACTGATAATCCTACATTGAAATATCATTATTACCCAAAGACCACAGTTCACATTAAGGTTCAATCTTGGTGCTGTCTCATGGGTTTAGACAAGTGTGTAAGGACAAATATACACCATTGTGGTGTTGTACAGAGTGGTTTTACTACCCTAAAAATTGTCTGTGCTCTTCTTACTCCTCTGTCCCCACTGAACCCTGGCAATGGCTGACCTTTTAATTGTTTCTATAATTTTGGCTTTTCCAGAATGTCTCATAGTTGCAATCATACAGTATGTAGCCTTTTCAGGTTGGTTTCTTTCACTTTGTCATATGCATTTAAGTTTCCTCCATGTCTTTTCATGGCTTGATAGCTCATTTCTTTTTAGCACTGAATAATATTTGATTATCTGGATATACAGTTTATTTATCCATTTATGTCCTGAAGGACATCTTTGTTGCTTCTAAGCTTTGGCAATTATGAATGAAGCTGCTGTAAATATCCATGTGCATGTTTTTGTGTGGACATGTTTTCAACTCCTTTGGCCAAATACCAAGGAGAGCGATTGCTGGATGATATGGTAAGGGTATATTTAGTTTTGTAAGAAACTGCCAAACTGTATTCCAAAGTATCTGTGCCATATTGCATTTCCTTTATTCTTAAAGCTTAATAATACCCCATTTTATGTATATGTACAACGTTTTGTTCATCCATTTATCCTCTGATGAACACTTGGGTTGCTCCCACCTTTTGGATTTGTGAATAGTGCTGCTATGCACATGGATGTAGGTCATGGTCCTCTTTGGTCCTCAATTAGTGAGGGCTTCTGCTGGATGGCATTGAAGTATATTCTATCACATTTCTGTTAATTTATTTACCTTCTTATGGAAGGAGGAAATTCCATTGGTCCTTCCTCCACTGGGATCTGGGTTCTCTTACTCATAATTCCCAGGGAGAAAAATAGAATATTATTTCTGGGTCAAAGCTTATGATAAAACTTGACAAACACTCCCAAAGTCCAGGTCTAGGTAGACGACCAAGGTGTGAACTTCTAACTTGGTGTTTGAGAGACCCATTTTGAAAAATATGTATTTTATTGATTATACTATTACAGTTGTTCCAATTTTCCCCTTCATTCCCCTCTACCCTGCACACCCACTCCCACCCACATTCCCCCTCTTTAGTTCATGTCATGTGCCATACTAATAAGTTCTTTAGCTTCTACATTTCCCATACTATTCTTACTATCCTCCCCCTGTCTATTTTCTACCTATCATCTATGCTACTTATTCTCTGTACCTCCCCCCCACTCCTTCCACTCCCCTCTTGCTAACCCTCCAGGTGATCTCCATTTTTGTGGTTCTGTTTCTGTTCTAGTTGTTTGCTTAATCTGTTTTTGTTTTAGGTGTGGTTGTTAATAATTGTGAGTTTGCCGTCATTTCATTGTACATGTTTTTGTCTTCTTTTTCTTAGATAAATCTCTTTAACATTTCATAAAATAAGGGCTTGGTGATGATGAACCCTTTAACTTGACCTTATCTGAGAAGCACTTTATCTGTCCTTTCCATTCTAAATGAAAGCTTTGCTGGATGGAGCAATCTTGGATGTAAGTTCTTGCCTTTCATGACTTTGAATACTTCTTTCCAGCCCCTTCTTGCCTGTAAGGTCTCTTTTGAGAAATCAGCTGGCAGTCTGTTGGGAAGTCCCTTGTAGGTAACTGTCTCCTTATCTCTTGCTGCTTCTAGGATTCTCTTCTTAATTTTAATCTTGAGTAATGTAATTCTGATCTGCCTTGGTGTTTTCCTCCTTGGGTCTAACTTCTTTGGAGTTTCCTGGACTTCCTGGAAGTCTATTTCCTTTGCAAGATTTGGAAAGTTCTCCTTTATTATTTGTTTAAATAAGTTTTCCATTTGTTGCTCTTCCTCTTCCCCTCCTTGTACCCCTATGATTTGGATGTTGGAATGTTTAAAGATGTCCTGGAGGTTCCTAAGCCTCTCCTCTTTTTTTTTTGAATCTTGTTTCTTTCTTTTTAAAATTTATTTATGTAATTGCTGTTCAAGTATAGAATTCTTGTTTCTTCATTCTTTTCTGATTGGGTGTTTCTTTCTTCCTTCTGCTTCACACTGTTGATTTGAATCCCAGTTTCCTTACCATCACTATTGGTTCCCTGTATATTTTCCTTTATTTCACTTAGCATAGCCTTCCTTCTTTTCATTGAATTTGTGACCAAATTCAATAAATTCTGTGAGCATCCTGATTAGCAGTGTTTTGAACTGTGCATCTGATAGGTTGGCTATCTCCTTGTTGTTTGGTTATATTTGTTCTGGAGCTTTGATCTGTTTTTTCCTTTGGGCCATTTTTTTGGTCTTGATGTGCCTGTTGTATAGTGAGGGGCAGAGCCTTAGGTATTCACCTGGGTGGGGTAACCCTCATCACTGCATTGTGATGCTGTATGTGGGGTGGGGGTCTGAGAGGGAACAATGGTGCTTGCTCCACTCTCTGCCAGCTTTCAGTCACTTCCCCTGCTTCCCACAAGCAAATTGGGCCCTTCTGGTGGGCCTGTGTATGTTCTAGGACCCTGTGGGTCTCTCCAGCATACTTCCCTGTGAGGCTGGGAGTTTCCCCTGCACCTTCAACCCCACAGGTGTTTTCAGTCAGTGGTTTGAGGCTTTATTTTCCTGTTCTGGGACCCTGGGTTGAGTGGTCTGTCCCACTACCCAGTTTTGCCTGGTTTATCTGTGCACGAATGTGAAACTGCCCAGTCTTCCAGCTGCCTTGTGTACCATGCTCTGTTGCACAATCCATTGCCTCACTGGGTCTGTCAGGCGCCGCTTTGCCACACATCCTTTCTGCCTGGATGTCGGTCTCCACCTCTCCTACTGGTTTGGATGAATGTGTCTTTAACTCCTTAGTTGTCGGACTTCCATACAGTTTGATTTTCTGTCAGTTCTGGTTGTTTTTTATTTTTAAATTGTTGTCATCCTTTTTTTGGTTGTGCAAGGAGGCACAGTATGTCTACCTATGCTTCCATCTTGGCCGGACCCCATTTTGGATAGTTCAGAATCATCCAAAAGGAATTGTTAGACTGGAAGGAAAATCTTTTGGGGAGGTATTACATTTAAAAAAATTTTTAATTGCAGTTTATATTCAATGTTATTCTGTATTAGTTTTAGGTGTACAACATAGTGGTTAGATAATCACATACTTTACAAAGTGTTTCTCTGATATTTATAGGACCCACCCAGGACCATACATAATTGTTAAAATATTATTGACTACATTCCCTATGCTGTAATTTACATCCCTGTGACTACTTTATAACTACCAACTTGTACTTCTTAATGAAAGGGAGATATGTTTTATCTCAGACTGTGCATGAATCTAGCCATCTATCTATCCATCATCCACATTCTCCACTAAGCACCATTTGTTTTTACCTATTTGTCCACTGACCTAATATCTCCCTCTATCTTTACCTATTTGTCCACCCACCTAATATCTCCATCATCTATCCAAATGTTCATCAACCCATCCATTTGTGAATCCACCATCCATTTACTTGTCCATCCATCCATCCATCCATCCATCCATCCATCCATCCATCCATCTATCTCTCCACTACCCATTTGCCTCTTCCTCTAATTTTTTTTCTGTTCCGATATAGGCACTATCCAGTGCTAAGAGACATAAACAGATGTTCCTTTTATGGAGGAACTCATAGTATATGCAGGGAGAAAAATATGCAAATAAATAACCAAACTAGCATAAATGGAAAGGGCATGTGTGAGTTAATGCTACAATTGCCAGAGAGGAAGGTCTCCAACTGCCTGGGGTTGATGAATAAGCCTGAATGAGGTACTGAAGTGTACTAGGCAGAGAAGGGATGAAGTGCACCCTATGAAGAATATACCAAATTTGCAAAGGTATAAAGTTACCTGTGTGGTTCAAGTAGGACAATGTGTGGGGTCCTGTGGCCTGGCCTTGAATGAGAAGAGCCCTGTTAAGGCCAGGCACCTCATTCACTGAGCAGGCATTGTGAGGTGTTTTCTCAGGACAGAGCTGTGGGGCAAGCCCGTGCTCTTTTCTCAGAGTCCATTGCTCCCATAGGTTCTGGGCAAAGGTGTTGCTGGAGGTATGTGTGGGTTCCAGGGCCCTGATGCTTGGGACCCTCCTCATGCAGGGTTCTTTCCCCTCCAAATGGCTCTGTTGGGTGGCCTCTTCCAGTCATACCACACAAACTGAGGGAATAGCTGACCGGGCCTTCCTATTTAGCTCCATCCTCTTGCAGCTTTGGGTGGTTAAGATTACTTTGGCAGCAATAAACAGGGGATTCATGGGTAGCTGGGACATGTGGGGCAACATCCAGTATGGGGGCACCTAGCATCCAGCTCCTCCAGTGCACTGCCAACAACTCCTGGTTTCTCCACCAGGGGCACCCCTGTGTCTGAATGACATGAGGGAGAAGAGAGTTGAATATCTCAGTGCATCCCTCTGGTGTCTCTTCTGGAACTTTTTGTTACCCCTCCTCTTCTTCCTGGTCACACCAAGCAGGCAGTGTTAAGGTCTAGGTACCAGAGGACTGGGCTCTGGTTGGGCATTGGCCCAATGGGCCACAGGTACAGGGAAATGCCCCTGCCTTTCTTCAAATTCCCTTGCAGCAGCACTTCTGTTCACACAGGGATCTCAAATCTTTCTGGACCTGTGTCTGATTGCTGCACTTCCCACCTCTTCATATTAATGTTTTGCATTCATTTTTTTCCCCCAGCACAGTTGCAATGTGCCAGGCACTGTACTAGTTACATTTGCCTTTCATCAACAAACAGTGTAGTAGACATTATCTTCATTTTTAGATTTAAAAATTCAAGTTTAGAGAGGTAAAATAAATTGCTCAATTTTGCAGACAAGATAAGCTGCAGAATGCAGAATTTACAGATTAATAAGCACCTTGATTCTTAGGTCCTTGTTGAAATAATTCCTGTATATATTTTGAACAGAAGAGGGACTTGGTTTGCCTTGAACTTCTGAGAGGAGTGTCATAAATATTATAAGTGAATATCTACCCTTGATGTGGCCAAAAGTGCCTTTTTCATTTGGAAATGAGGGAATTCTTCCTAACCCCCAGCTCTCTTGTTGCGAGCATATATTATACCTAAGAGAAGAGCTGGCAGATGTTGGTAGAAATTAGTTAAAATAAGACTGTTGACAAGAATGGCAACAAGACCCACATCTACATGAATAACTTGGGGTAGTGTTTATTGGGTAGCAGAAGTCACCTGACTTTTCTCCACCCTTTATATTTGCTAATTGTTTACTCCTCCATCAACCCTAAGAAGTAGGAGCTATTTATATACTCATTTAACAGAGGTGGAAACTGAGGCCCAACTCCACTTTATTAAATTTAGTTGCATTAACCCAAGGGGTAGGAATGTAGACCATCTGATATCTTCCAATTCAACTCCATCTATAAAGATGGTGGAATTGGGGCCCAAAGAGGGCAGTGACCTACTCAGGGACAAACACAATCTTGTGATGTTCCAGCACCCAAGCCAGCACCCCTGGGCTAATTGAGCTCATGCTCACTGGGCTCATGCCCATTGTTTGAAAGGTCTAAGAAATGACATGGCTTTTCCCTAGACCTCCCAGGTTTCTGCCTGGCTAACCATTTATGACCCTTATGGAGACTCACTTTTCCATGGGTTTCTGCCTCTCCAGCACAGGAGGTACTTGAGAGTAGGGAGGCCCCAGGTAGGTGAGCAAGCAGGTTGCATTGCTTGAGGGAAAGCAGATCCATGTTAAAAGGCAATGAGATCATGCATTATTATATGCATCAATGATAATGATGATGATTTGCTACTAATCAGTGTGGCCTAGACCTGGTTTTCCTGCTCAGGATAGGTTCTAGAATTGGCAGGAGTTGGGAAGGACCTGTGCACTATCATCTCATCTTTCTTGGCTCCAGGTGTGTGGGGTACTATGGCTGTCCTCATATGATGATGGGGAGGCTGTAGCTCAAAAGTTCAGGGTATCTAACCTGAAGTCATACTGCAGGTGAGGCTGTAGGTGAGCTGAGGGCCCAGGTATGGGTGACTGAGGGTCATGTTCCTTTGCACTGTGGTGAGAAGACCTTCACCCTAGACCTTCTCAGGTTGTGTAAGCTCAGTGCAAGGTGTCAGTTGGTGAACACTCAAGGGAGGGGCTTGGGATTTGGGGTTTGGCCAGTGAGAGGGAGCCAGACCTGGGAAAGATGGAGGTCCAGCAGATTGGGTCTGCTTGCCCAGTGTCGTAAAGGAGCTGAGCTCTCTGTGGAGAGCAGGGATGAAAATTGAGTAGCATTTTCCTCTGAGGCATGGTCTGTACTGGAGCCATAGAAATCCTGACCCCTTGCCAGGGCCCTATAGCAGTCACTGCCTGGGAGTGACAGTATATCTCAGGTAGTCAGTGTCTGTGCTGGGCTGACCAGCCTGTCCTACCTGCCGTGGATCTTGGGAACCAATGCTGGGGAAGGAAAGCATTTTCTTTTAGCTCATTATCAAGATCGGAGCCTTCTCTGACATCTCCACACTGACCTCTCTTATTGACCCAACTGAAGTCTTCTATCTTGTCCATGCCCAACTTGTGCCCTTGGGGCTGAGCAGCCTGCAGTGATCCCTGATTCCTGCACCGCTGGTATGTCCATGCTGGCCTCAGTGGGGCTCTCCCACATTCCATTTTAGTGGGCGTCACAAAGACTGACAGTTTTTCTTTGCCTTCGTTGTCTGAGCACTTACGTAGCATCTACTGTGTGCAAGGCAAGGGGCTCTGGAGAAGCAGAGGTTGGGCACTCTGTGAGGTGCCTTCCATCTCTAGGACCCTCTGCAGATTCTCAGCCCAGCCCTTGGCAGAAGAGGCAGTGCAGCAGGAGGGGTAAAGTGGCTGGGCAGGCATGCAGAGATAGAGAGCCATGCTGGGAACCAGGATTCTCTGAGGCCACCACTCCACTTCCCAGCCTCAGAGAGCCCTGACCTATAAATCAGACCCTGAGTGCCATCTGTGACATGGAATGTGAGAGGCTGCTGATGCCCAAAGGTGCCCTTTTTGCTCTGGCCACTGCCTTTTTAAAATACACTTTATATTTATATTAAATTTACAGAAGAGTGGTAAAGATAATCCAGAGAGTTCTTGTACCCCCTCACCCAGTACAGAACCATCGTCTCTTTATCAAAGACTTAGAGGTTGACACTGGTACATGCTAACTAACTACCGACTTTACTTGAGTTTTCCAGATTTTTCCAGGACATCCTTCCTGTCCCAGGATCTCATCCAGGAAGTCACATTATATTCAGTAGCCACTGCCCTTTAACAGACCAATAAATTCCCTGACCTCTCTGCCCATACCTGTCTTTTTTTCTCCCCTCTCTTCACCTGCCCTCCCTTTATGTCTCATGCCATCAACTGCTACTGAACTCCTTAGGTATCCTGTGCCACTGCTGAGCATTCTGAGTCAAAATGTGGGGTTTTGGGTACATTTATACACAGTGCCACCCACAGATGCTGGCCACTAGGGCACCTGTTATGGGCCCCATACTGATTTTCTGGATCTCTCCTCCTCATGGGGTAAAGAACCCAGAAACCTTGCCTCCTCTCTAGACTCATGGTCCAGGTACATCCCAGGATTGCTTGCCCAAATGACCCTAAGCCTAGGGACCTCTGTTATAATCACACTCAAATATAAGGGACATGTTCATCTTTCCTTATAACATTTCTCCTGGCTAGGGTTCAGTGGGTTTGGGGCACATCTCTAGGGGCTCTTTCAGCCTGATCTTCCTGTGGAAAAGGGGTCCACAAGGAATGTTGGTGTGAGTTCCTGAGCTTGAGAGTCCTGTCCCATGTCTGGCCCATGTGGGTGTGAGGACCACTGAAGGCTATGTGCATGTGAGTGGACTGTAGCCCTGGACCAGGCCCTAGGATTATGGGGGAGATGGGGAGTGACTCTCACTTGTTCATGCCTGCCCCTCAACGCTGGGAGACTGCTCATTGTGGCCGCAGGGTCCTGGGCATCCTGACGGGGCTAGTCACAGCCTCTCTGGGTTTCTCTCCCTCTATTAGGGCTTCCCAATGTTCAAGACTCTAACAGTTATCTTAGAAGCATGTTAGAATGCAGATTCCTGGCCTGCAGGAGGCCTACTAAATTTAGCTTTCCAAGGATTCACTAGGCAATCAAACGTGTTCTGGGCTTGATGTGTTCTGGGCTTCCCAGGTTCTGGGAACCTGGGTACGTTTTCTTCCATCACCCTTGAACAATCCTGAGGAGTAAAAGCCTTCCTTGGTTTTAGTTGAGTTAACTGAGGCTCAGGGAAGTTCTGGAGCTTGGCCAGTATGCATGATTGGCATGATTGGCATGATTTTAGCCACTGAGTGCCCAGTGGGGAAGAGAGAGAGCCTCTTTTGCCAGCCACAGGAGAAAGACTGTTGTCATTTGGGTCACAATCCAGCCTCTGTGGGGTCATCCTGCTGGCTCTTTTCAGTCCGCAAATGATTGTCTTTTTTGGCTTCAGCCATAAACATCTGACATAGAAGAGAAAGAAGGAATTCCTTTGGTTGAAACATGGCTGTGTGTCCACTCACATGTGTTTGTACATGTTCACATACATGTGTGTATGCACACACATGTCTGCATGTATGTTTGTGTGTAGCTTCCTCAGATGCCTTTGCTCAGAGCAGCCATTTGGAAGCTTTGTTGGCTGCTGATGAGACCTGGCCAAGACAGCCCTGACCCTTTGAGCAGGACCTGAGCTGGGCCTCCTGCCTCTCACTTAGGCCAGGCCCTTTCATGCTCTCAGGTCATCAGACTGCTTCAGGCTCTAATGCAGGGTCCAGGTGCATTTCAGTGGCCCTGCTTCCTCTGCAGTCCCAGTCTGGAAAGCTCTTCCCTCCCCATAAACTATAGGCAAGTTTCAGTCACTGTCTCAGAGCTCCAGACCCCAAAGAGGGTAGGTAGAATGGTAGATAAGGGGCCATTTTTTTTCAGGGCTTTTTGGGGAGGTCCCAGGAGTATTCCTGTTGTGACCCTTCCCCTGAACCAGTTCTGAGCCCAGTGAGCCCTGGGACTGGATGTCCAGGCTGTCCCAGCACTGAGTTCTCCTTCCTACTTCACAGGAATGTTCCCTCTGCTCCTGCTATTCCCAGGCCAAGGCTGGCTCTGTTACACCAGGGAGTGTAGAGAAACATCAGAGGCAAGGCTGCCAACCTATCCTGCAGGCTCTGAGTCCTCTTCTTGCACCCACATCCTGGGCTCCAGGCTGAGCTCTGGAAAGGTCTGCTAGGAGAGCTGCTAGGAAAGGTCTGGTACTAGGAGAGGACACATACCAGAGCAGGCACATACCTGCCCCAAGGGACTGTGGGGTCGGAGGGTCTCTGAGAGCCTGAAAGACTGCACATCATGCAGCTAGTTCTCTCATGGGGGCC